GTCAGTAAAGACTGTCATTCGGACAGTGAAGGCTGTCATTCGGCCAGTAAAGGCTGCCACTGAGTCAGTAAAGACCGTCATTCTGTCAATAAAGGCTGTCAATCAATCAGTAAATGCTGCCACCCGGTCAGTAAATGCTGCCATTCTGTCAGCAAATGCTGCCATTCGGTCAGTAAATGCAGCCATTCGGTCAGTAAATGCTACCATTCTGTCAGTAAATGCTGCCATTCGGTTAGTGAAGACTGTCATTCTGTCAGCAAAGGCTGTCATTCGGTCATTAAAGGCAGTCATTCTGTCAGTAAAGACTGTCAGTCTGTCAATAAAGTCTGTCAATATGTTAGTAAATGCTTCCATTCGGTCAGTAAATGCTGCCATTTGGTCAGTAAATGCTGTCATTGAGTCAGTAAAGACTGTCATTGAGTCAGTAAATGCTACCATTCGGTCAGTAAATGCTGTCATTCGGTCAATAAAGGCTATCATTTGCTTAGTAAATGCTGCCATTCGATTAGTGGAGGCTGTCACGCGGACAGTAAATGTTGTCATTGAATCAGTAAAGGCTGTCATTCTGTCAGTAAATGTAGCCATTCGGTCAGTAAATGCTGCCATTCGGTCAGTAAATGCTGCCATTCGGTCAGTAAATGCTGCCATTTGGTCAGCAGAGGCAGTCATTCGGCCAATAAAGGCTGGTATTCAGTCAGTAAAGGCTGTCATTCTGCCAGCAAAGGCTGTCATTCGGTCATTAAAGGCAGTCATTCGTAGGTAAAGGCTGTCATTCTGTCAATAAAGGCTATTATTCTGTCAGTAAATGCTGCCATTCTGTCAGTAAATGCTGCCATTCGGTCAGTAAATGCTGCCATTCGGTTAGTGAAGGCTGTCATTCTGCCAGCAAAGGCTGTCATTCGGTCATTAAAGGCAGTCATTCAGACAGTAAAGGCTGCCACTGAGTCAGTAGAAACTGTCATTCTGTCAATAAAGGCTGTCAATCTGTCAATAAATGCTGCCACCCGGTCAGTAAATGCTGCCATTCGGTCAGTAAATGCTGCCATTCGGTCAGTAAATGTAGCCATTCGGTCAGTAAATGCTGCCATTCGGTCATTAAAGGCAGTCATTCAGTAGGTAAAGGCTGTCATTCTGTCAATAAAGGCTATTATTCTGTCAGTAAATGCTGCCATTCTGTCAGTAAATGCTGCCATTCGGTTAGTGAAGGCTGTCATTCTGCCAGCAAAGGCTGTCATTCGGTCATTAAAGGCAGTCATTCTGTCAGTAAAGACTGTCATTCTGTCAATAAAGGCTGTCAATCTGTCAGTAAATGCCGCCATTCGGTCAGTTAATTCTGCCATTCGATCAGTAGAGGCTGTCATGTGGCTAGTAAAGGCTGTCATTCTGTCAGCAAATGCTGTCATTGAGTCAGTAAAGGCTGTTATTGAGTCAGTAAAGACTGTCATTGAGACAGTAAATGCTGCCATTCGGTCAGTAAATGCTGTCATTCGGTCAGTAGAGGCTGTCATGCGGCTAGTAAAGACCGTCATTGAGTCAGTAAAGGCTGTCATTGAGTCAGTAAAGGCTGTCATTGAGTCAGTAAAGGCTGTCGTTTGGTCAGTAGAGGCTGTCGTGTGGCTAGTAAAGGCTGTCATTCGGTCAGTAAAGGCTGTCATGGAGTCAGTAAAGTCTGTCATTGAGTCAGTAAATGCTGTCATTCGGTCAGTAGAGGCTGTCATTCAGTCAGTAAAGGCTGTCATTCAGTCAGTAAATGCTGCCATTCGGTCAGTAGAGGCTGTCATCGGCTAGAAAAGGTTGTCATTCATCAGAGAAGGTTGTGATTCATTCAGGAAAGGTTGTCATTCAGTCAGTAAAGGCTTTCATTCGGTTAGTAGAGGCTGTCATGTGGCAAGTAAAGACTGTCATTGAGTCAGTAAAGGCTGTCATTGAGTCAGTAAAGGCTGTCGTTTGGTCAGTAGAGGCTGTCATACGGCTAGTAAAGGCTGTCATTCGGTCAGTAAAGGCTGTCATTGAGTCAGTAAAGTCTATCATTGAGTCAGTAAAGGCTGTCATTCTGTCAGTAAAGGCTGTCATTCTGTCAGCAAAGGCTGTCATTGTGTCAGTAAATGCTGCCATTCGGTCAGTAGAGGTTGTCATGCACCCAGTAAAGGCTGCCATTCAGCTAGTAAAGGCTGTCATTCGGTCAATAAAGGCTGTTATTCGGTCAGTAAAGGCAGTCACTCAGTCAGTAAAGGTTATTATTCGGCCATTTAAGGTTGTTATTTAGCCAGTAAAGGCTGTCATTCGGTCTGTAAAGGTTGTTATTCTGTCAGTAAAGGCTGTCAATCTGTCAGTAAAGGCTGCCACTGA